GACACGTGGAATGATCGCGTCAGTCCAGACGTCCTGGACACGTGACCTAATCGTAAATTCGTAAGACGAAAACCGATTTAGATGAAATTTGGTATAGATGTAGGTTGTCCCAGGGGAGGGACAAAGGATAGTTTTATCCTATAAATGACTCTTCAAGGGGGTGGAAAGGGGTGTGAATGTTTGTATTTTTCCACGCAGACCAAGTAGCAGGCACCCAATAGTAAGTTTATAAGGGGTAGAAAATAGGAATGAAAAAAGTTATTCGAGAGCGTCAGTCGTTGATAAGGAATGTTACGTGAAGCCCTTTAAAGACAGCTCCTAATCAATCATGACGATTTGAACGCGAACATAAGTAATGGCCGCTATTTGAAATAGCAAAAAAAACGAGACCTTGAAATACTCGAGCGCGTCGGATTATTATTATACAGTCGCTTCATTTTAATGCCTTTAAAGTACTGACTTGACATACTCTGACAATAATGTGGAGGAATTTCCCTAATCTGACGGGTCAGCAAAAAATATTTTTCGATTTACATATTTTATTTAAATTATTAAATGTAATAAATACAACATAAAATATGTTTGTGTACAGGTAAAAATATATCCTATAATTAATGAAAATAGTACATATAAACAACGAAAACTTTTTTTTTTTCAATCTTCATTGTCACTAGAATCATCTTCATATTCGAACTCTGGTTAGATCGAATAATAGTCTTAGCTACTCCTAAGTAATTTTAAAGGACCTATTCAACGATATGCCACACGATGGGGTAGATGATGAAAAAAACATCCCCAGGATACATGTCGAAGACCTACCCTAAAAAAATATTTTTCAAAATCTATATAGATATATATACATATCTCCTCAAAATTACAGCTATCTAATAGTCTCGAAGCAAAACTGGAGACAGACATGACGAAACTATAAGGGTTCGCGGAACGCTAAAAAGCAGTCCTTGCTGAGTTTCCTGCCATTTCTTCTCAATACAAGGTCTCCCGCCGTAGATTTGTGAACTGATGACGTAGCTTTCGACTTCAACAGGTGCTTGTAAAAACCTACTCTGAATAAATGGATATTGAATTTTGCCAAACTTTCAACATAAAAAAAGGATGTGCAAAGAACAGAATGAAAATTCCTTATCTGTTTTTGTCCACATTAAACCCGGCAGTTTAGAGAAAAATTACACTTTATACCTATATGTTTTGGTATTTTTTTTTTGCTTTAAATATTTATTTTGGGTATTTCTGAATGTAGTTTACTTCAGTACTTAGTGTATATTTCTGGTAGATATGTACAAAAAATGAGGATTCGTCCAAGAATCAATATTGACACCGTTTTGGTATCTATTTATGTAGGGGTACCACAATTACACTTGAAAGCAAAGGCGCATCAAAATCTCCGACCCGGCAGTTTCGAGAAATAATTACACTTTTACCTATATGTTTTAGTAAGTACATTTTTTGCTTAAAATATTTATGTCGGCTATTTCTGACTGTATTTACAGAAATAAGTTTGAAAGGAAATTATACCTCAGTAGTCAGTGTATATTTCTGGCAGATATGTACAAAATATGTAGTAAAATACTTTTATGTAGGGTCAAGTGGGGGACATTGTTACACTTTATACCTACATGTATTAGTACATTTTTACCTTGAAATATTTATTTTGGCTATTCTGAATGTATTTTACATTTTTGAAGTGAAAACTTCTTTAGCGGCGTTGTATACATTTTTTGTAATGGGTAAAAACTGTTAAACTCGCGTCAGGACACGTGGAATGATCGCGTCAGTCCAGACGTCCTGGACACGTGACCTAATCGTAAATTCGTAAGACGAAAACAATTAAATTGGAAAGGTTGTTGACTTTCGATATATTGGACGAAACATAGTCATATTTAATTTTATCGTATATAATAATAGGTCTCTAATTAGGACGTCCAGGTGGCAGCTTTATTGCGAAGAAAATGCATTTTTTTACAATAGATGGCGCTAGGTGCGCTGAAATGTGATTCATGTTAATTGATTTCTCTGAGAGATAAACTTTTTTTGTAATATAAATTGTCATGTTTGAGTACGATAACGCAATAAATAAATATTGTATTCTACCACATAAACGATAGTACTTTTATACTGATATTAAAGGAATTCGTGCAAAATTATTCCCTAACGATTCCAAAATATCAAAAGTGCACAACGTTCATATTCAAGTTTTCACTTCTGTTCTCGGAGTGCAACCCGTCGTTTTTTTTGCTTGAAATATTTATATCGGCTAATTTTGACTGTATTATACTTCAGTAGTAAGTGTATATTTCTGGCAGATATGTACAAAAAATGTAGTAAAATACCTATATGTAGGGTCAAGTCCCCTACTTGACATTGTAACAAGGAATGAAACAAAATAATAAAAAAAAAAGTCTCAGGTTTTCCCGCACATCACTTATTAAATAAAACTAGTTATTATGGGTTAGATGAACTGAATTTATTTATTTATTGACGTTTCGCATCCTTTTCAGGAATGCATGTATGTTTCTACCGACGACGCTTCCGAAGTTTAAATAGCCCACCAATAGAAGAAGTAGATCACACAAAATTAAAATATTAAAATCACTTAAGACAAATTCTTAGTAACTGGGAATCTCATATTGATTCTATAACAAATAAGCTTGATAGATTTTTATTTATATGCTCTGAATAGAATAAGAGTAATATCATCCCAACAATCGGCGCACATAGCTTACCATGGCTATGTTTTATATATGTGTTGCGCTATGGTATAATACTGTGGGGAAATTCGGTAGATGCAATTAAAATCTTTGAAATCCAAAAAAATATACGGTCACTTTGGTGCAGGTTATTTGGACTCGTGTAAGCCCTTATTCAAATTGCTTGAAATACTGCCAGTACCTTGTTGATATATTTTTGAAATGGCAGTGTTCGTTAAAAAGCATTATTTCTTAAATAAGCAAAAAAAGATGTTTAGTATAGTGGTAGAAAATGGGAAGATATATATTTAAATCTGAAGACTAATGAAATTATCTAAAAAAGTAAAAACAAAACTGACAAACTAATTTTAAGGCTTAATTATTAACATTATTATAGTTTCGTCATATCCGCCTGCCCCGTCCCCAGCTTTGCTTGGAGACTATTAGCACTAGAGAGCTGTAATTTTGTGGAGATATGTATATCAATCACACCGACAAAACAGTAAAATAAAATTAAAAAGAAATAGGGTAGCTTTCCTACATGAAACTTGGGGATATTTTTTTTGTCATCATCTACCCCAACGTGTAAGAAATCGTTGAATAGGTCCTTTAAAATTACTTAGGGTTTCCTAAAACTATTTTTCTATTTAGACCCGTGTGCAAAATATTGAACTTTAAAGTGCTAATTTTTGTTCGAGTAGGGCGTCCCCCAAAGAAATCGGCGGTTATCATTCGTATTTAAAAAACTAATAATATCGAATTGATTTTGAGTTTGGGACGCAGTTTTACTTCGATTTTGGTATTTTTAGTTAAGATACATAGATTCATATTAATTGGTTTTTGTGATTTCCGATATAGAAAATAAAGACTCCTGCTTAAATATATTGTGGTAACTACAGGCAACTACGGAACTCTACACTCCACGACACGGCATGACACGCACGTGGCCGATTTTGACGTGACAACGTCTTAAATTAGGTTGCGGCTGGGAGTCACTTATGAAAAAGTGTAACGCTCGGTAACGTTACGATGAGTTTAAGTTTACATGTACAATGTTTTAGTAAACAAAATATATTTCTATAGTTAAAATTTGTGCAATTCTTATTTTCATTCAATTCCTTGTTCCTATTGTGCAATTTAATTATATTCATATCAATAAATATTCTACCGAGAAAAAGACGTTGTCACGTAAAATCTTCGCCCGTAAAACCGACTTTACAGGCAACCATTTTTTAATAAATAAAATGTACTATTCAATTAATGATAAAATACCCTAATATATGTACGAGTTTATTTGATATTCGTGTTTATTTAATATAATAGTAAAGAATATGTAGATGATAAATATATGTAATTTTCTGACATTTTAATTTAATATTGATGCAATCTTTCTTGATTATTTTAATTATGAAGAGAAACCGTTACATACCGTTATATATAGGTTTTTTGTGGCATACCGTATTATTATTATCTTTAAATTAATTTAATTCTTTTTGACGTCATTGGACTTTATTAATGCTTTTTTTTATATAACCTGAAATATTTGCACGTTGTCATTCATAAAAATATGCTGGAAACTAAAGAAATACCTTACAAACATTGTAACCATATTTTGGCAAATAAATGATTATTATTATTGTTACTATTATAAGGGGCATAGTATAACAAAAGGTATAGGTATCTGTGTATTATCCCCGGCCATCGTGATGAGAGCTGCTTAAGATGGCGGCATATGAAACTAGGTAATAAATCCACGTTAAGACAGACCATAGATCAATAAGAAAAGGGCAGGGATATTCCTTTATGATACACTGTGCGCCTTCTTACACTGTCCCTCACTTCACATTATTGTTATGTGTCATTTTTCCCAAAACTGCCGGGTCAGAATGTGATGTTTCTTTGTAAATAAGTGTAGTTGAGGTAAACAACGGTACGGTAACGGTAAATACCACAACGATATCGGTATTGGTTCTTGGACCACTTTCGCCCAGTCTACTTTGTCACTACCACGTCATATTCGTGGCGCCGCAGGAAATGACATTATTTCTGTCAAATGTAGACAATGATGGCAAGTTGCCAGCCTATCGCTTTCGCTGGAAGATTGGTTCCTCTCACCTTCTAGTCCAATTTACAAGATATAGGTAAGTTAATTAGTTTTAAAAAGGCGAAAATATATCACTGAAAATAAACTATTGTTATCTACACTCGTTATTGAAGAAAGCTAATTATGTTTGTTTATTACTTACTAGTAAAATTACTTCATAATATGAACAATGACCCAATACACTTCAAGTCATCAGTTGCAACAAATTGCAACATCGAACATTCAACCCTTTTATCTTATTTTTGTTATGTCTCTAAAATAGAAGCTTATAAATAATGAATAGTTCAGTAATATTCGGCATTATCGACGACAAAATGAAAGTGCTAACATCAATATTTGTGATATCCCTAATATGGGGACACAGTTCGTCTTACCTTATAAAAGTTCCCACTAAGCCAATACAAGCAAAAACAGGTATGAAAAGACTATTTATTATTAACTTAGACATGTCAAGGTAAAATATTTACATACATTCACGTATGGGAGGTTGACAGACCAATAAAGGTTATACTCGAGAGTAAAAACTATAGAAACATAACTTTAGTAGTCAATTTAGTAAAGAACTGCATACACGAGTAAAGTTTCAATTAGGCTTTTATTATCTGACCTGGAAAATTAAGAGCTAGCACATTATGTTTTTCTTTTGTATAATACATAATGGAAGTGAGTGGATTGATCCATACTAATATAAAATAAAAAAACGAAAGTGTGTCTGTCTGTTTGTCTTTCTCTCTGTTACGTCTTCACGATTAAACCGTTGAACCGATTTAGATGAAATTTGGTATAGATGTAGGTTGTCCCAGGGGAGGGACAAAGGATAGTTTTATCCTATAAATGACTCTTCAAGGGGGTGGAAAGGGGTGTGAATGTTTGTATTTTTCCACGCAGACCAAGTAGCAGGCACCCAATAGTAAGTTTATAAGGGGTAGAAAATAGGAATGAAAAAAGTTATTCGAGAGCGTCAGTCGTTGATAAGGAATGTTACGTGAAGCCCTTTAAAGACAGCTCCTAATCAATCATGACGATTTGAACGCGAACATAAGTAATGGCCGCTATTTGAAATAGCAAAAAAAACGAGACCTTGAAATACTCGAGCGCGTCGGATTATTATTATACAGTCGCTTCATTTTAATGCCTTTAAAGTACTGACTTGACATACTCTGACAATAATGTGGAGGAATTTCCCTAATCTGACGGGTCAACAGAAAATATTTTTCAATTTACATATTTTATTTAAATTATTGAATGTAATAAATACAACATAAAATATGTTTGTGTACAGGTAAAAATATATCCTATAATTAATGAAAATAGTACATATAAACAACGAAAACTTTTTTTTTTCAATCTTCATTGTCACTAGAATCATCTTCATATTCGAACTCTGGTTAGATCGAATAATAGTCTTAGCTACTCCTAAGTAATTTTAAAGGACCTATTCAACGATATGCCACACGATGGGGTAGATGATGAAAAAAACATCCCCAGGATACATGTCGGAGACCTACCCTAAAAAAATATTTTTCAAAATCTATATAGATATATATACATATCTCCTCAAAATTACAGCTATCTAATAGTCTCGAAGCAAAACTGGAGACAGACATGACGAAACTATAAGGGTTCGCGGAACGCTAAAAAGCAGTCCTTGCTGAGTTTCCTGCCATTTCTTCTCAATACAAGGTCTCCCGCCGTAGATTTGTGAACTGATGACGTAGCTTTCGACTTCAACAGGTGCTTGTAAAAACCTACTCTGAATAAATGGATATTGAATTTTGCCAAACTTTCAACATAAAAAAAGGATGTGCAAAGAACAGAATGAAAATTCCTTATCTGTTTTTGTCCACATTAAAGCAACCTCAAATGGGAAAATAAACAGTCGTATTCTCTTATGACAATTGAGGAGCTGGCGAACAAAACGGTATGATTACGCATCTGGTCAAACTACTTTTTTTTACAATCCGGAGGTTTCGAGCCCGTTGAATTTGAATCTCAAATAATTTTCAATCAAAACCACCTAAAACAGTGTTAAAATTACTAACTTTATTAATTAAAAATCATGCCAAAACATCACTGTAGGTATGTCATTCAGTTTTATACAGCTCCTGTAAAATTTAATTTTATGTAATTATACCGTTTTGTTCGCCAGCTCCTCAATTATTTTATGTAGAGTAAACAAGAGTATCACTCGCACGTTGTCTACATTGACCAAGGCTGCCAACCCGTGGAGTCTTGGAACCACCAAATGTAAGAGTTGTTTCGCAGTTCACTGTGCGCTTCTACGAGGTGGCTTTGTCTTCCCCAGGTGGACTCTAATTCTGGAGAAAAATTGGCATCCCATTGCCCAGGATGCTCTTGAATTTGATTCTGGTATGACTTATAAACTTGTATGTTTCAGCTTCCGTAGATTGGGTCCATATACAAAAACGTATGATCCCCTTATTTGAAAACGTCTGTGAACAAAGCACTAATGAAATTGTAGTGCGTTTAGCTGAAGAATTCAAAAATGAGCCAACAACCGACGCTTACACAGTAAGTCAGGTTAAGATTTATTAATCATTTCAGTGATTCCATTCCGCATTCACATGACGACAAAAGCTACAAGCCGCGGTTTGTTAGTCAAGTAACAAATATACAAACTTTCGCATTTATATTATTAGATTGGGGAAACAGTTTTTTCGCCTTTTATGTGAAAATTCAAAACATTTTTTAATAAAATTTATTTACTTTTAATTAAAGTATGTAGGTGCCACTTTGTTCGATTACTTTTGCCATCTTGTAAGTAGGAACATGATTCCATTGCTATAGAAATATTGGGGCTTCTAATCAAAAAACCGCGACAAGTGGTTTCGGCAGTCCTCTCGTGATGTTAACCTGTCTAAACAATTCTGAAGAGACCGAAACAAGTGGAAATCTGAAGGTGCAAGATCAGGATGGCAGTTGCATTTACACATCCCAGTCAAACTCTAATATTTTTGCTGAGTGGATAAAGATGTGCGAGCTCTAGCGTTATCATGATGAAAAACCACGCTCCTTCTGTTGATTAATTCCGGCCGCTTTCTCTCAAGTTTTTGTTTTAATCTCATCAGTTGTTCACAGTAGAGTTCAAAATCGAGGTGGTAATAATAATGTCCTTCAAAACATACACACAGCATCACCTTCTTCTTCTTCTTGCTAAGGGCGTTTCCGCAACTCGACGTCCTTATGGCGCCTGTTTTGCGTGAGGAGGGTGTATGGTCGGAGTCACTCCAGCCCAGCTCCGCAGGAACGCCCCCAGGGCCTTCACATTAGTGACTGCCTCTTGAAGGTTTCCTGGTGAGCACAGGTATTTCGCCCGGTATTCTATTATTTCGCCCCACTCCGTTGCATTCCAGCAGAACGTGAGTAGCTGTTTCTTCTGCCTCCATGCATCCTCTGCATAGGGGGCTGTCCGTGACACCTAAGTAGCATCACCTTGTTGCGGGTTTCGCCAGAATCTATGAAGCCTGACCGGCCTTTGACCACGAATTTTTCGCACGTTCTTGTCGTACGTGATACACTATACTCGTACATCACCTGTTATCAACTTTTTCAAAAATGGTTCGGTTTCCTTATGTCGTAATAAAGAATCACAAATCAACAACAAGCTAGTGAGGCACCCAAATATCGAGCTTTTTTGTGTACCCAGCTTTTTTCAAATGCGCCAAAACTGTTTTGTGGTCGATTCCCAGTTCTATAGTTACGTCGTAGCTACTTATATGCCGATCTTGCTCCGCTTTCTTTAAAATGGCATCCGTTTTATCCGTAAAAGGGCGCAACGTGCATATTTGACATCAAAATTTCCGGATTGAAAACACTTAAACCAAATTTGTTACACACACTTTACTAGGTCCATAAACATAACAATTTTTTTTACGGCTTGCGTAGCATTTTTACGTTTTTTGTAGTAACATTTTAAAATGTATCGAATTTCTTCATTAGGTTCACTCATCTTGACAGTAGGGAAAAGAAATGAAAATTTCATTTTTTTCTAATTTGAATATGAAATTATCTTCTTTATTTCTTTACTTTTTAATTATACCAAAACTAATCAGTTACTTATTGCATAGCTAAATAGTTTTTATTACAAGTTCATACATACTATAATGTGAAAAGACTTTTCCCCCAACCTATTATTAAGTACAAGTGTCTCATCCCTGACATCAAATGGTAGTTACTGGATACATGTTTGTGAAAAAAAAACACAGATCTTGTGCTCTACATGACTTGAAAGGACATTGAAAATGAATCTACCTATTATAGATTATTAAAAAAAATAAGAAATAATATAAATAATAATCATAAAGTTTTAAATTTCTTTTTCAAAACCATATTTATTTTTCAATAGCAACTTTTCTGAATTATTTTTATATTATCTTAAAGCCCCGTCGAATTCCGCGTCTTTTGAGCTCTCATACGTCCTCGTGGCGAGCCGCCTGCCGCGTGATATCGCACCTCGCGCTGCGCAAAAATCGCGGCTAGGGCACCTCTACAGCCTCAACCGTTCCCAATATCGAAAAAAGTGTAATCACCTAAATGTTCCTTGGTTCAATACCGAGGTGCTTTCCTTTCATATTTTTAAAATTCGGCCCAAGTCGAAAAAAGTCGGTTTTCTCGATTCCCAAAAATGTTTTTGACTTTTCCAAAATATTTTTTACATTTTTTAAAGCCCTTCAAATTCTGCGTCTTTTGAGTCCTCGTGGCCCTAAACTTCGGGGTAACACGAGCGAGCCGCACTTTCAACGAAAATGGAGCGAAAGAAAAAACATTTTCAATGTTAAAATAATGGCTTTAGCATTAGTTTACTAGTTATTTAATTTATAGCCGGAGGAGAAAAATGCCGTGCTCTTAATTGCTTTGTCAGTTATGTAAATAAGCTCATTCTACTAATACCTATCATGAATGTAAAAGTTTGTGTTTGTGTGTTTATAATATGTTTGTTACTCAATGACGCAAAAACTACTGATCGAATATGAATGAAATTTGGTACGCATATAGTTTATTACCTGGATTGAAACAAAGTCTACTTTACATCCCGGAAAAATGTAAGTTTTATGTGGGATTCTCAATAAACCAAAACTAACGCGGACGAACTCGCGGGCGACTGTTAGTCAACATTAATACTTTCTAAATGGATAATATATATATATAGGATTAAACTGTATCTTCGCTGGAAAACATCATCATAAATTTTTATTTGCATAGAATTTATTGTCATTAACTGGGGCATTTTTCTATTTTTCCAGAAAGCAGATGTTGTGGATAATCTACGTAACATAAATACTAATAAGGGCTTGTTACCGAAGGGTGAAATATTCAGTGAATATAACATCACTCATATGAATGAACTGAAAGTGATATATGAAATATTCTACTACGCTAAAGATTTTGATACTTTCTATAAAGCTGCTTGTTGGGCCCGACAAAATATAAATTGTGGCTTATTCGTAGACGCTATTTACTTAGCTGTACTTACAAGAAGAGATACTTCAAAAATATCTCTACCACCTCCTTATGAAGTCTTACCAAACTATTTTATTCAAAGAGATGTCATCGTTAAAGCATCATATTTGCTATCTGGAGAAGATGTCACAAATATTGAAGACATTAGAGTCGAAAACAATGCATATATATTAGCCGCTAACTATACAAGTAATGTAAATGATGACAATGAAGATTTTGAGCTGTCCTACTTCCGAGAAGATATTGGCTTAAATTCTTTTTACTTTTTGAGAAAACTGATAAATGCAGCATGGTTTAATATTCCTAGCGAAATTGGTAATAATTATGGTGATTATATGTTTTTATTGATGAAACAGTTTGCAGCCCGGTATGATCTAGAAAGATATTCAAACGGATTACAAGAGTTGGAAAGTTTAAATTTGAATTCAGTAGCAGATACTTACAATCCCATGCTGATATATTCAAATGGAAATGATTTTGACCATAGATCAATCCCAATGTCTCTAGAAGATACAGATGATGCTACTTTTTTAAAAACCATCGAAAATAATTTAGCTACAGTTGTTGGTCATTTAGTAAGTATAATAATATTTGGTTATTACTAGATACTTATATTAATCTAAAGTAAAGTGAAATTAATGTCATTATTTATACTTTATAGAGACAAGCAGGATATAACAAGTCGCAAATTTTAAATCATCTCATTGAAATATTGGTTACTTCTGATAAGAGTTACGAAAATATAGCACGGCGCCTATGGAGGAATGATATTCAAGTAAATGAAAGGTAAATGATGGAAAAACTAGAATATTTTAAAAGTTACTAAAATGTTGGATTTAAGAGGTTAAAGTTATCATTTTTTTCAGGCTTGGTTCTTGTTTGAGCCATTATTTGACTTCACTGCGGGACCCCATATTTTGGAAAATAAATAAAAAACTTGTAGAATTAATCGACAATGCTCTTGAAATATTACCTAGCTATTCTAGGAAGGAACTATACTTCCCTGGAGTTGAAGTTTCGAACATAGAAACAAAAAAGATGATAACATCTTTTGAAAGTTATCAAATTGATGTTACAAATTCTTTGAATACAATACATGGAAATACGACTTTTCAAGTTAAAATAGCACAAAACCGGCTCAATCATAAGCCATTTGTATTAAAACTAAATATATCATCGCTTACAACTCAAATGGGTGTAGCAAAAATATATCTAGGACCAAAAATCATGCCTGGTGAATTTGCGTCAAAGAAAAATGCATTTGTTTTAATGGACAGATTTGAATTGAATTTGAAGCGTGGCATCAATGTTATTTCTAGATCCTCAGAAGAAATGAAAACATTTTCAGGTGACTTTTTATCCCTCGGATCCATAATTAAAAAAGTAGAAGATGCTGAATTTGGATTAGATGCCTTACCTTTACAGGATGTTGAATGGCAAATTGGATACCCTTCTAGATTAGTTCTCCCAAAGGGTTTACCAGAAGGGCTCCCCTTACAAATCTTTGTATTTATAGCTCCGTTTACAAAGAATAGCTTGAGTGGATCTTCCTTAAATTCAAATGTTAACTCCAATACAGCTAGTTTGTCTGCTGGATATCCTCTAGATTTGTTTATTGAAGAAAAAGAACTATTTAATCTTCCGAATGCTTTAATGAAAGATATCATTATTACACATAAAGATGGAGCAAAGGCATCTGGTTACGATGGTAAAAGTAGTTCAAAGAATTGGAATCCCAACAACTCTTTCGATTCAGCGGGCTTCGACTATGTAAATAAAAATGAAAACAGCTACAGGGACTACAACAATAAAGATGGTAAAGAAAATATCAATAATTTGCTTGACGAAACGCCTAATTTATTAGATAGAACAACTGTTCATACAAAGCAAAACAAAACTTATTCTAAGTACGCAGATGAAATCCAAAAAATGGTAAACGAGAATCATTTATCGAAAGTTGGTGGTAATATAAAAGGAAACTTGGAAATTAAAGATGATATCCAAACTAAACATCTTGATAAACAAAGAGAATATATTAGATCTTTCGATAAAATACATAATTTACTAGGTGAGAGACCTGCGTTTACATATAAGAACAGAAGTGGAGATGATAATACAGTAAATTTAAATCGATTTAGAAACAAAGGAAACTTTAGTTCAAGGCAAGCTGGTTTCAGAAAATATGATATTTCAAAGGATAGCTTAGTTAATACTGAAAATTTTAATGCTGATATAGATAACAAAAATAACAATATCAATTTAATTGAAAAACAACATGGACTTTTAGGTGGTCAACCAAAATTTTACTATGATAGAGAGGATAGTAATAATATTGATACCAAAGATGATGTGATCAAAACTGATAGAAAAACTAAATTTAATAAGCCTATGCAAAACAAAGTGATTGTTGAATTACCCACAAACAGAATAACTGGCATACTCAGTGAATCTTATGAGAAAACTCACCCCATATTAGGAGCTAGATCAGATTTTTCATATAAAAAAGATACAACAGATTATACTTCAAAAAGGAACCAGTACAAAGAAAAAAGTAAAAAATATGGAACAAAACAATCAGAAGATAAAAATGAAGAATATTCTTATACAGTTTTTAATAGAACAAATAAAGAAGAAAACCCTCATTCTCAAATTATAGAAAACGAAGAAGATAATATTGAACAAAATGAGTATGAAACGTCGAGAAAATACATCGTGAATAAGAAAGATAAAAATAACATAGTATACAAGAATGTATACACGAAAAAAACTACAAATAAAGGCGATAATTTAGAAAAAAATGATGAAATACTTAATAAAATCGGCGACAGTCTTACAACCGAAAGATATACTACGTTGGTAAAAGAGATAATAAAAGACCCTTCATATATAGACACATACGATTTAAAAGCGCACGACATGAACTATATGGAAGATCTGGGTTTCATAACATTAAACGGGACCATTCCAGAAACCCCAGGAAAACGTGCATCTGTCTACAACTATTTATTTAATAATATCCCAGAAGACGAAATAGTATATCAATAATAATACTTACGTATTTGTAATTGTGTTTAGCTGATAATAAAATGAGTACTTATTTGAAGTTTTCAATAAATAATTTCTTTATTTATCGATTTTCATATTATTTCCTATCAAGTCACAGTCATTTGCAGGTAAGTACTAAGCACGTTCGATCTGCGATCGTATAAATAAATCAACTCTCCAATGGCCGATCATAAAATAGATGACCAAAAATTTCTTATTTCTTGCTCCTACGTGCTTCAGTTGGCACGTTTGGCCATTGATCCCGTCTACCAATCCGCACTGGACCCGCAGCTTATTCTATCTCTTATCCCTGTTTCATGCATAGAGAAGGTCTCTGCCCTAGTATTATTTATTTAATAATAATAGGTTTATTAGCTTAATAAAAATATTTCAGCGTTGCCTTATGATAGACGTTGTTTTTGAGATTAGATAAATTTAGTGTCTCATTTCAATGAGCTATAAAAACAGTTGTGCGTAAAACTACGGAAACCAATGTATGTCGTTATTGCTCTTTGAAGCGGTTTCTATCATTATTTTTGGAAGCCTTCCAAATATTTTACAACAAACACTATGCTTTCCCTATTTTCATCGCTGAAAATTTAAAAACCATCGGTCACTAGTGTGACAACGGCTAGAACACAAATAGAAATATTTTTACAGTTGGTTACAAGGTTTCTCCAAGTAGTCTCAAATGACATGTAATTCCATATATTCAGCAGAATCTATGTACTTATTTCATGAAAACTGAATTTGAAATATACTTAATATAATGATGGCTATGTTATAAATAGAGAAGGAATCCTAATGCTACCAAGGAATTCGTTTTGTAACATATCATTTTAACCACATGGGTTTGTTCCACGTAAATAAAACTTTACGACATGTAGTAAAGGTAAACATTGTAGGGGAGAGCGGGGTAAGAAGGAGTACTAGGTTTTTCACGTATTTACAATAAAACAAAAACTTTCGTTCTTGTAATTATTTTAATGATGGGCCACCAATATAGTTTATTTAATTCTTAATGCACAAATGTACAAAGGCAGACTTAATGCCGTAAGTATTCTCTACCAGTCAACCATAGGATGTTGTAGAAAGAATTAGTGGTAGGGTGCGCAACTAGATAGAGAATACACATAACCAAATAAATATAGATAATTATAATTAATGTAATCACTATTTTTTTTTATAAATATATGTAAATTATTTAATACTTAAATGCATAATATATTCATATAAATACACACTATTATATACGCATATACATACGCGCTAAATGATAAATGACAATGACTTAACTAGGCAAAGGCAGCCTCCCGTACAAAGCTTCGTAGGTTGGTTTTAAAGCTGTATTTGTTAGTAGACATCTAAGATCTAGTGGGAGCTCATTCCAAAGAACTATAGTCTTGACGAAGATGGAGCAAGCAAAGAAAACAGAGTGGTCAGAGCCCGCATACTTCTGCGCTGCCTTATAGGCATCCATACATCCATTTAAGAGAGATCGGTATGCTGACGCGTGGTTATATTTTAAAAGATTAAAAATGAATCGAATGCAGTTATTCTGAAGTCGATCAAGTTTATTGAGTAGATCTGCATTCAGGTCGAGGTAGTACACATTACCTTAGTCGATTAGAGGAAAAATCAAAGTTTGCAAAAGCATTACTTTGATATTGTGGGGCAAAAAATTATTAGGCGGTAAAGAGCACGTAATGTTCCAGTAACTTTTTGGCAGACGCTACTTACTTGATCCTGCCATTTAAAACTTGAGTCAACATACAATCCAGGATCTTTTGTGACATTACTGAAAGGGATTGAAATACCATCATAGATGATAGAACCTAGATGGCTTTTGTCAATTATTCTGCTTATCGTTCTTGATCTACCTAGTAATATAGCTTGGCATTTAGAAGCATTTACAGCGACACCAAAGTTGTCCACCATAGCTGTCATTCTTAAGTTTTAATTATTAACAATATAGTGATTTTTATTAGATATCCTCATGATTTCATATAATTTTTATGATTGTTATAAGTTTCTTGAAGTCAGCCATTTGAAAGTTTCACTTAAGTGACTTTCACGAAAGGTAGACTAACGAAACAGGTAAAAAATTGTTTCTTTAAATTCGTTATATTTATTGTTTATTTAATTATAATTTTCTAAGCGGACATGATGGGATAGTATACGAAACACACACTCCATCTTACCACATAGGACATTTTCTATTATTAATTTTTATTTCTTTTATTAAATCAGAAAAAAGACTGAAAGAGGAAACTGAACAGAAGAAGCTCTGTAGAAGCGTGCTAAAATGGTAATTTTGACTTTCTAACGATGTGAATAAAAAAAAAAGAAAATACAGAGGACAAAAATAAATGGATGGATCGAAAATTAAAAGACTATTCTTAAAATGAATATTACAAGTTCGGATGAGTTGGGGAGTTTCATACCCATGATACCCGATAGGGGTGCCCCGTCTTACCCGACCTATGAAGCAAGATAGAGAGATATCCCTTTTCTTACTTTTCTCAATATTATAACTGGCTATTTTGTCTTCTCTATCTAGAGTTTTTTTCTTTTTTATAGTCTTTTTTATATTTGATAGTCATTTTCCAAGGATTATTTTCAATAATAAAATATGTTAACGAAAAAAAGCTAAACAGAGATTTGATTTATTATTGTTTAAACTTTAGTTTCCCCATCGTGCCCCACCCTCCCCTAATTGAGTAATATGCACCCGAATACAATTAAGTAGTTAGTAATCTTTTATTTTTATAAAATATACGTAGTGAATGGAGCACTGTTCCAAATTTCATACATTATAACAGATACTAAATTACAGAAAAATATATTAAAAATGTTGATATAAATGAGACACTGTTATATTTCTAACTTAAAAAAAAATTGAATTACTGGATTATTAATCTAGTGATACTATCTTTACATTCAATTTTAAGGTGTTATTAAAAAATGAGGCAGGCAGATTGCAGATCTTCACATTCAGCTTTTTAATATGGCGGATTGTATTACAGCTAAATAAAAGTCTGCCGCATCGTTAAGAATCTTTCACGCTCTGCAATACAGGTACTCTATTGTACTTGTTCGAGTTCTTAGCCGCCACTTTAGTACCTACCAAATTTACGAACCGAATTTGGCGAATTTTGGCGAAAACTGTCACATTAATAAATCTGGTGTTAATTACGATTAATAGCACTTACAGCTAAGTACATAAGTAGTTACATACGAGGGAGGTACTATTTATTATATTCTTAAAGGAAGAGTTGGCTTATATTTTTTAAGTATAGGTATATGCCAATATTTAAGATTTTTGGTTATATAATTATTTATTAAAAATCTTAAATGAATTATCAGACAATTCAGCAGAATAAAAATTTGTTTCTTTTAGATCTGTTGATAAAGCATGGCTAGCCAAAAAAATATTTTAAAGTAATCAAGGATATTAATAATCTATATATCTGCATATAACAAATGATTTACTTACTATGAAATGTGTACTTAAACATCTGAAAATTATAATTTTAAAAATTCTAAGAAGGCCAATGTGTGTGTGTGTGTTTTTGTTATTATAATACCTTTCCTTTACGGCATAAAAAGATATCTAGAGAACTAAATGTCATAAAAATAAACCCTAATAATGTCCGTAATTAAGATATAATGAAACACCAAAAACGTTAAAACTCCATGATTGCATCTACGATCTAAAGTCATTAATATTAACGCCCTATTTAAAGATTCACTTGCATTTGGCGTTCGGATATCACCAACAGATTCTGCAAGGAAAACTGTATGTTCGGTGCCAAAATGAAGTTATATTTCCACTACATTGACATCGATGATTCAGGTCCAGTAGCGTGACCGGCTATCCAAACATTGCTTTTGGCTATGATGGCCAATTATTTTGATCGAGGAATTCCGAGTGGCAGTAAATCGCTACCAGTCCGTCACGGATCGGTTAATAAATTAAATCATCTCGCTTCTTGGTGTTAAAGCTGCTTGAAAACGTATTTTGAGATTGGAATCACTAATTAGAGTGAAAATATATCATCGAGTATAAATTTTCACATTATAGCAATTTACTCAAATGCCTGACTTTTTCAATGCCGAGAACAATTGGAAGAAAAACCAAACTAGCATGCAAAAAACTTGGATTGCTCAATAGAGCGAGAAAGTACTTCAAACACCAGTTGATGTTTTACAAAGTATGTCCGGCCGCATACGAAGTACTGTTCTCATCTCTGGGCTGAGTCAATAATGTTATTAGTGTGCTTTAGCCCAGAGATGAGAACAGCACGTTCTTTGTCAAGTGAAAAGAGCTGATCCTTCCTCTTGACCAGGTTAAACTTATCGATGCCCTTATTACACTGACGTGTTGCAACCCGAAAGCTTACGCAGAGACATTGCATCCTTGTGCGTGTTGTACCGTCTATACAATGGCGAGTGTTCCCAGGAACTATTTAATCTGGTGCCAGCGGCCAAGTTTTTTCGCCGCAAAGAGAAGTTACATCCCCACCATCTGCACGCTGGACGTTCTAGCACACGTCCGTCCCTCAGCGGTGTTTCCTTCCAGCTATGATATAGTGTCTTCAAAAGGCGGGTAAACTCTTTTCCCTCAGAGCCGGTAACGTATGAGTGGTACCCTTAGTGCTGCAAGAGTCCATGGGCGGCCGTGACTATTTTTTGTGGTGGACTGTCAGCTCATTTGCCTGCATAAATTTAAATAAAAAACAACTTAAATACAGGATGCTCTCATACAGATGCTTTAGCATACAAATATTAGTACATATACAGGTTGGAAGAGCAACAAAGGTGCAATTTGAGAGTGGAAAAGTTTCCACAGATATAGGTTAGTCCATGCACAGAGGTGATAGGTTGCCACCGTCTACGCTACTACTACAGCAGTTTTCGAATATGTTTTGTCTGTTAGGGCTACTTCTCCAAAATAACGTTATTCTGTTGATCGCTCTGGTGCTTTTTTGTTTATTAATAATTTAAGGTTTTAGTAATTTTTGCAAATAAGATTTTTTATGAGAATGTCTTTTTTCTTATTATCCCTGATTTTCTGCAAATACTTTATGCGATATATATATGTTTGAAATTATAGTGACCAG